GTTCATGTTTTTTAACTTCCCGTTCATGTTTTTAATAAAACAGAAAATTACCGTTTGGCGGTCACGCGCGAACACTTTAGCTGCGAACAGGCATATTCTGGGAAGGAAACTTTGTGTAAACGTATTACATATCTCCCAGAAGAACAAAAACACCATTTTTTCAAGTAAAACGGTCTTTTTTATAGAGTTTTTCCACTAAACTCGGACAAATTTAAAAAAAAAAATTAAAAAAAATTGGAGGTCGGGGACTTTTATCAGGTCGGGCGGGGACGCTAAACAAGTATTTTTTTTATGTGGCCTAATGATAATTATTTATTTCCTACTATTAAGAATTGTGAACATGTGACTGGTATAATAATATGTTCATGACTGCACAGAAAAATATTTTGCTCATTATAATAGTTTGTGCTAGTTTCCCTAAACAGTACTTTGTGTATTTTTTCCTGTAACATAAAATGTGTCGCCGTATTAATTTTTATCAAAACGCATGCATGTTTATGTTTATGTTAACATTGAATGTTTTCATATCCAATGCCGCCAGATTATCCAAAAAACCATTGCCTGCTAAACACAGTCTATATCACCGACAAAGCAAAGAAAGATGGATTTACTTTTTGTGAGAAAGAAACATCAACATGGCTATCGATATTTACTTCTATTTATCTATCTCCAATTCAATTAGGATGAAATTCATGATGCATAGATGGCTGTTAAAAAATATACGCCTTCATCGCAGCTGTGGTAAGCGTTTCTCGACAAGGCTATGACCTTTTCGTGGCCTAACAAAAGTAAAGCGTAATGAAGTCAGACATATAACAGTGGGCCCAAAAGCTAACTAAAATATGTACTGATGTTATAAAAGAACCATCAACTTGACCACTCTCAGGCGAAGTCATACTACCAAGTATAGCCATCAAGCAAGATGCATTTGTTATGCAAGCACTTCTCACTCGCAGCTGTGGTAAGCGTTTCTCGACAAGGCTATGACCTTTTCGTGGCCTAACAAAAGCAAAGCGTAATGAAGTCAGACATATAACAGTGGTCCCAAAAGCTAACTAAAATATGTACTGATGTTATAAAAGAACCATCAACTTGACCACTCTCAGGCGAAGTCATACTACCAAGTATAGCCATCAAGCAAGATGCATTTGTTATGCAAGCACTTCTCACTCGCAGCTGTGGTAAGCGTTTCTCGACAAGGCTATGACCTTTTCGTGGCCTAACAAAAGCAAAGCGTAATGAAGTCAGACATATAACAGTGGTCCCAAAAGCTAACTAAAATATGTACTGATGTTATAAAAGAACCATCAACTTGACCACTCTCAGGCGAAGTCATACTACCAAGTATAGCCATCAAGCAAGATGCATTTGTTATGCAAGCACTTCTCACTCGCAGCTGTGGTAAGCGTTTCTCGACAAGGCTATGACCTTTTCGTGGCCTAACAAAAGCAAAGCGTAATGAAGTCAGACATATAACAGTGGTCCCA